TGATAATGTAAATTAAAATAAATGTTAACTGAGTAATGTACAAGTACAAATGTTGCTGCAATGCAGCAATTGAGAAGCTCCGCGCAAAAAAAAATGTGCTCATTGCAGATACCTTACCAAATTATTCATACGCACAGGTTATGTTATATTCAGATTCAGTACTATTGTAGATTTTTTCCGGATGTTTTGTAAACCATTTTTGCATAATTATACTTTTCTTATGCACTGTCCATAATTAAAAAGAGGGGAAAGATATTTAATATAAAAAATGCTTTCACTGATGCCTACCTTATAAGGAAAGTAATTCCATTGAATACAAACAAGACTTACAAGACATGTTATTGTTATGTGACATGACTGTACTGTGTTCTGTTTTTGTCACTACTGTAGTCAGTAACAGAAGATGATAAAAATATCAAAGTCTGTTATAATTGTAACAAATATACAAATAGTAACAAAAGGGACTTATATTATAATATATTATTACATGCTTTTCGATGGATTATAGAAATACATCAGTGAATTAAAACTGGTAATTTCACTGTTTGAAACAGTGAAATTATCAATTTGATAATTTCACTGTTTAGAATTTAAGCCCCTTACGTTGTTTCAGTGAAATACCAGCGTACACAGAACTGGAAACCAACTTAATAAAGTGACGTCGTAAATGACGTCACGTTGTATAATTATTTGGCGCGTTATTCAGTTAGTATTAGATAAAAATGTCCTTTTCAACGTTTGTTTGCATATAATAAAAAGAAAATTTGTTTAGTTTAGTGTAAGATCGAAATATATTTCACCTCGTGAACACCAAAAGTTCACATTTCACTCGTGAAATATACCTTTTGGTGCTCACTCGGTGAAATATATTCCGATCTTACACCGAACTTAACAAATATCCTCTATGTAATATTACATGCAATGTTTTTCATGTCAAATTAAAAAAAATGGTTTCTTTCAATACTGGAAGTAGAACACACTCTGGAATGAAAAATGGGATGAATTTCAAAAAGACAAATTCAGGATTTTTTTGTTTGTTATGCACGCGTTACATGGTGATACAGTATTTATCAATATAATAGAAGACTGTTACCTGAATTTTAGGTAGGTATGAGGAAATTCACTAACTTCATATTCGTGCGAGACAAAGATATGAAAACTATTTGACATTGATAATATATAAAAAACTATTGTTAATTAATTTATTGGGAGATCAATATATATTTTTTGTTGAATTGCTTTAAAACCATTCATAAAAACATTACACTTCATGTTCAAACTGCAGATCAAAGTTTCTGTTTTTGTCATGATATCTATCTATAGCCTATGCGCTTTGTCAGCCATGTTTGTTTTCCAAAGTGAAAGTAGACCAACATTCATATAACAACAAAGCTCTTATTGTAAAATGATGAACCATTTGAAAGTACACTTCCAGGTTTATATTTTAGGACAATTAAAAACAAAAATAAAAATGATAACAATAAGGATATTTACCTTGAATGTGCTACATTTCTGAAGACCAAAAACATTCTGTTGCAAAGTTTTATGCACTTTTCATGAATGGCAAAATCCTTTTTAAAGTCTGTTTTAGTGCCAACAAAAGCTATTTTTTTGCAGAAATGTAGCCCATTCAATGTAAATTTCTTATTGTTTTCATTTTTATTTTTGTTTAAAATAGTCTTTAAAACATAGAACTGGAAGTGTACTTGCAAATGGCTCATCATATAGCAATGTGAGCATAGTTGTTAAATGAATTTTGGCCTACTTTCACTTTGGACAGACTTTGTGAAACAAACATGGCTGACAGAGCGCAATCACCTTAATGAGGGTCCATCCGCTCGTAAGGCTACAAAACGCAGCTTTCGCTGTCGAGTACGGTCCCTCGTCATACCTTTTTCACAAAGCGGTATGCTGTACCAATGACGCTAATGAAATGTAACGTTATATACTAAAGTATAATTATTTCAAAACAACCAATATATCAACATGTTATTATTAAACATTTTATTTCATAAATATAAATTAAAAATAATTATCAAAAATTGTTAAAATCTTATGCCTGAAAACTTCTTTATATTGACAAATTCAATCACTAATAGTATACTTGATATGCTGTGTGTAAATTAATTCAAAATGTAACAAATTATAATTTCATGTACTACTAAAAAAGGGAAATAACAAATTTATAACCTAAGTGTCAAAAATCAGAACATTTATAACTATTTATAGCTTTCGAATTTATGTACAGCAGAACTGCTTTCCGGTTCTCATTCATTAATATGACATGCTGCGAATCACCGACGGGGAAACCAATATAGAAATCGAAAGGAGTTCTTGAATGCGGATTTACTTTTAGCTGTAAATCGAAAGGATTTATTGCTCAAATCCGGGCCCATGGACAAAACAAATAGTAAACACAAATAGCTCAGCGCCTGTGGGCGCGGAGCAATAAATCCCATTAACCACAAAAATATTTGTAAATATCCTCCATAAACTGTCATTTTATTAAAGGAATGTGACTGTCATTTTATCAAAGGAATGTGGCTGTCATTTTATTAAAGGAGTGTGGCTGTCATTTTATTAAAGGAGTGTGGCAGTCTTTTTACATTTAGGATTTACTAATCAACAATCATTCTTCAATCACAATTCAAAAAGTCTGTCTATTGAAATATATAACTTTCCTCTCCTGGACAGTGAAAAATAATGTCACATTACTAACACATTATCACAAACTCAAATGATTAAACATAAATCAAAATTCATACTATGTTGAAACCTGAACTGTCTTGACATGCAGATCAGACTGGTGTACTGTTGGCTAGAGTCAGTGTACCCGGTTCCGCACAGGACCCGGTCCCGCACACTTTCCCTTTTTTCATTTTTTATTAAAAATTCAAATGAATTTATTCAGTTTTCATTTTGTTTCACTGTACTGGCATAATCTGGGATCTTGCACCACAGCTTCTCCCTGGAGAGTGCAGACGAAAATGTAAATACATGGCTGTGTAGGTTACACATAAAAACAACTTATTCAGCAAGTAAACCATGCTAATTTAAGATTATTATAAAATATATATTTGAAAAGAAATGTATGTTTTTGTTATGGCAAATTTGCTGTTAATTATGAAATATATGCACATGAATAAACTTCTCCCAACTACCAAACGTCAAGTCATTTCACCTTGATTCTTTTGTTTAAGATAATACCAAACTCTTTATCGAACAAATCATGACTAAATTTCAATAATAATTTTTATGTCTGTGTTTACTACCTACAAGTGGTAAAAAAGTATGTTTCCATTGCTGTTACATGTTTCCTGTGTGCTACTATGCTTGGAAATAAATGGTTGTATTGTGCATTAAATTTAGTCCAGAAAATTTGCATAAAAATATATCTTATCTGGACTTACAGATGTTAAATAATATATAAAACATGTTTAAGATGTAAAATAACCTTTCAGTATAAAAATGGCCTGTGTGCGGAACCGAGTCCTCTATCTATTATATTTGGCCCATTCCCGTTGCTTAAAAGCAAGTGCGCCTAGAAATATGACCCACTTATGATAGAAACGTTCTGGTCATCAGTTTTTATGGACAAAGGATGTATATTTCAAAATAATATCAATTATAAGAAGAATTTTTAACTATACGATAATTTTCTTATGTTTCTTTAAAAAAGTGTCGACACCGGGTACACTGACTTTACTTTATCAAATACAGTACAATCTCAATTCTCTTCAACATCACTAACAGGTGCATCTTCTTCACACATGATATAGAGTTGTCTAAATCAGAGTGCAGTAGACAAACAAAATATGTCCTGTCAATTTTTGTTTTTTCCGATGTAGATCTAGATCGCGGAAATTGGTTTCTCTTGCAAATTATGTCGATAAAGGTGCGCTTTTCCTTGAAAAACAGTAACTTTAATGACCATGTTTAGAACAATCAAATGTATCCTAATTTTGTTCAATGGTTGAACGAAAAACAAACTTCTGTACTGTAGGGATGTCAGGCCGGATACGCTATTTCTTGTATTTCGTTTACAAACTGGCGAGGAAATGAGGAAATACGCGTCTATTTATAAACTTTGTAGACACGTGATATGTTTCAACCAATGAAATGCGTATAAAGATTTTTGGATGAATTGTAATTTGATAGATTTTCGTTGGTCGTTCAAAGTTCATTGTAAAGGGCAATATCACAACTCGACGCTTCTTACAGCAGCAGTCTGAAGTAACGTGAGTGTATTCAGTGAGCTGCGAAAGGAGCGTAAATCTGAATATTCATCATCTAACATCATCAAAACATCCATCATCTCACATTATCTTTATATCCATCACCAAATATCACCTATATATCAATGATTTAAACAATCCAAAGACTCATCATCTACTATCATCTATCAGCTTAATATCTTTCATCTAACATAATCTAAATATAAATCAATTATATCATCTTAATATTCATTATCTTATCCAATCCAAATATCCATCATCTAAATATCCATCATCTTACATTATCCAAATATCCACCATCTGACATTATCCGAAAATTCGCCATCTAACTTCATCTAAAAATTCATTTTCTACTTTTTTCCAAATATCTTCATTTTTAAATCGTCTAATTATCCACCTACTTACAATATTCAAATTTCCACTATCTTACATTATCAAAATATCTTTATTCTTACATCATTGAAATGCCCACCATCTTACTTTATCCAAATATTTTCATTTATGACACCATCCAAATATCTACCTACTTACAATATCCAAATATCCACCATCTTACATTATCAAAATATCTTCATTCTAACATCATCAAAATATCCATCAATTTCTTTATTCAAATACTTTCATTTTTACATTGTCCAAATATCCACAATCAAACATCATCTAAATCGAACGAAAAGTAATTTTGAAAACATTGTACTATTTCGTATATTTATAAAGTAATTGTCCAATATTTCAATACAATTGTTTTTTTTTCAACAGATGTTGCCATTACAAAGAGTTGACAAAAAGAATTAAAGAAAATGGCACAGGCGCCAGACAATCGTGTAAATTTATTTCGTTTACAAATCATAATTATCGATGGAGGCCTTCTTATTCTGAGAGATTTCATTGACCAGACATTGACTACTCAAGGCAAAACTCTTAGTGCATGTTTGAATCAAGAAAAGACAACGATAACACGTTTAAAAAGCCGTGGTACTATTACACAGGTACAATATGATATATTGTTTCCAACGGGTGGTAAAGTCCCAACTACGTCAGAGATGGATTTCACTCTTATAATGTGTCTTCTAAGATGCTTGAAGTGTTTTGGATTGAATAAAAAATTCGACTGGAACGCAATGCCCGTATCAACCGATAACACAGTTGAGGCAGACCTATGTCGGTTAAAAGCTTATCGAAATGAAGTAAGTACGCTATAAAAGATCACTATTTGAAAACTTTTAATGTGACAGAAGATTGTCATATATTTTCTGGAGTTCAGATATTAGCAAGAAACAAGTGTCAAGCGAGTTGATTTAGCTCACACTTTCTGTTCAAACGATAACTTGAATACCTCGATATGATCACAAAAGCAGTGGACACAAAATATCCCTTTGTTCATATGTTTTTGTACAAAATGATATTTCAACACTTTTGCATTGCATGTTCCACACAAGCAATACCTTCCTTATACAGGTCCATGTGGGGATATAATCGCTACATCACTGGTAATGCGAATTTTATTTTCAGATATGTCATCTACCTACTACAACTGGAATAACATCCAATGACTTTGTAACTAAGTGGAACGACATCGAGCGGGTTAGAAAATGCTTTTAGAATTTGTTAATTATTCTGTAAATTATATCTGCTTAAAATTTGCCTAAGAGAATTATCTACAATTAATCAGAAAGACAGTTATATTAGAATATATTTCAAATATTATATGTATTTATTTGACTATTTTTTTCTTTTGAGACATAAAATTATGCGCATTTTTAACGACGTAATAATTGCTAATGTACATGTTTACAGGGTATGTAACTACCTCGTCCAGTAAATTAAGAAATGAGTCTATATTCGTCCAATATCTTCTTTAAAGTATTTAAGTTGCACTCGTTGCTTACGTCTGCATGGTAAATGTCATTTCATATTAACCGAATTCATTCTATGAGTAATTTGTTTCTACTAACGTACGAACATGTCAAAGGCGTTTCAATCATAGATATACTTCGTATATCTGTAATATAAGAAATAACCTTTCATGACTTTTCGTAAAAATGATGCACCTGTAAAATTTTCTGTCAAGAAAATCATCCAATGACAGGGTAGTATACATGGACAATGCGTTTAATCGTTTATTTATTTTATATACTTAATTCATGTTTATTCTTTCTATTTTATTCGTATAGTAAATTACTAATATCAATTAAATCAACTAGCACAAAAGTTCAATAATTGATATTGATGAGAAAGAGACAAACACATGCTTAGCTAATAAATCTTATCGAACTGCTTCTCAGATACTTCTACGACAAAGTTCACCAGCTCTGAATATCCAGCAAACAATTGCCGACTTCAAAGACTGTCCTCTAGATCCCGAAGAAGATAAAAGATTACAAGAAGAAGTAAAAAAGTGGAAGGACTATGAAGCCAATGTTGATCGACTGAATGAGGAAATGAAAAAAGTACAAACAGATGTTATTGAAGGGAAGAACGAAATTACAGAAGTAAAAGCTAAGGTTACTGAAGTGGAGGAAAAACTCGAGGAGATAAAAAGACAAGGTGCAGATCTGGGTTTTTTGTTGTTGTTTTTTTAATATTTATGATTTTTGAATCATTATCAAATTGATTGCTTAACATTATCATATTTGATTTAAATAGTGTATTTAAAGTGAATAAAAATCATGCCCTCCAGAGGCTCATTCAAGACATTTAGTTTTAAATTCATTCACTACTCTATATGAATATAAAACAAAGTTGAAAGTCAATTTGCTAATTGACAATATTCTGTTGTTTACGACTTGGAAAATAATTAGAATATATACTGATAAAATGTTTATCTATTTCATAACAGAGAACAGTAATGAAGTTGTTCCTTCTGTACAGTCAGAGGAGGAAAAATATCAGAAACACAAGAAGGGTAATTACTAGTACTACACTTCTTTATCATGTAAACACTTATTTACATTTATATCAAAAGGAATGGTAAGTAAAGCAAAAGAGTAGGTCATTATAGATGCAGTTTTATTGGAGAGGTCATGAGACCACTCCACAGTGATTAGACTGATTGCTGGCGGAATCCATTTTTGCGTATCTGATTGTAGTCCATGCATCTCTTTTAAAGCGTAAAATCATTAGGGGCAGTCTACAAATATTGTTTTGCACATGCTCCGTTTCAAAATACGACTTAACCTAAACGAAAAATTAACATCAGTGTGAAGAAATCGGTACATAGAAAAATCGGAAAACATCATTTTAGTTACTTAGTGCTACGTGGACGTTTCATTCCGTTTTAAACTTTTAAACTTTAAAAATCGATTACCGTATTGTGTTATGAACAGCATCACCATGTACTATTATATGACCTATTGAACCATGTACCGAAACTGTGCTGCTCCTTAAACGTTTTTGAATCGGTATGACTAAATAACGCAACAGAGATTATTTGGCGCAAATGGTACACATTTTACTCAAGTTTGATTTTCTTCAAATATTGTGGTTGGAGGCATGCAGCTTTATATACTGTTCATTCCAATCAAATGTCAGACATAAACATTTTTATTTTAATCATTAACTTAAAATTATTTGAGTAACATACTTTATGCCCGTTTTGGAAAATGTAGAGGAAATGTTTCCATATTCTTACCAAAACATTAACCGAAAATGTGCTTATTGAATTTTGCAAGAAATTAAATTTGATACTACTTTTAATATATATACATGTATATCGTTTTTCTTTCATTATGATACTATATTCAATATATATAAAAAAAATTAGATATCATTATTGTCGATATATCGCATTTTGGAAAAAAGTCTATTGTATCTTTATATAATATAAACGTTCAATACCTTGAAATATATGTTAAAATTGTTTGCTTTATTGATAATAATGTTTTATGACAATCTTAATTTGATAATTTAGTAATGTACTTTTACACATTGTTAAATATCGACATAAAGAAATAACAGAAATTCATAGGCGGGACGCACTTGCGTTTTGCTCGCGTTCCTGTTGCAGGGCCATTCTATACACACCGGTCTCTCAAATATCGACAGTAAGACCGGTGTACACAATGGTTGCAGGGCAGTTTTCTTGTCGGTCGGTTTTAGTACAACTGATATCTTACTGGTTGTCTGTTACGAATATGAGTTTTATTCCGATAATAAGCAGTGCAGAATTAATCATACCGATGTCTTTGTACGTTCGGCATTGTAAATATTTATGATTGCTCCATTCATTTTAACATTGACGAGATGAGAAATCATCAACCTACAGGTAAACGAATTTTTTTATGAAAAAGTTTGGAAATAAAAACAAAAATTATCAACATATGACATATGCAATATCGGATGGGGACTCATTAAAGCTCAAAGTGTGCGCTTAGTCGAAATTTTAAAATATCAGATGTCTAATTATGTCGTGTTATTCTTTATATGGTGGTGCCAATTCTACAAAAGTTTGTTTCCACAGATACGTCTTACCGTGAGGACAATACGTTTTACTATAATTTCCACAGAGGATCAATTTAAAAAATACTGAAACCAAACAAATTAAAACGTTTTTTAATCTTGCAGTAAATATTGAAGGCCAAACATAATACAATTTGTTTTCGTTAACAAATTTCAATGAAGCTGCTTTAGAAACAAATGGTCAATTAATGAATAATCGCGTACTTTTCTCCTACAGTTACGACGATAAAAAGTAGATGGCCAAACAAAAAATCGTCGAAATGTATTGTTGTGTTATTATTTATAAGTTTTCAAATATGTTAAATGTCACGACGATAACGTGTACATTCATAACATGTTAAAGTATAAAATATGACTAATTATTGACTGAAATAATGACAATGATGATGTTTGTTGTTGAAATAATAAAATTTAAAGCTTTTGGTAAAGTAATAGATATAGATTTTGAATTTTATTATATGTTGATGATATTGCACTCGTAGCTGAAACTGAAAGTGATCTTCATTTTATGCTTAATGTTTTGTCAAATTGGTCTACGTCAAATGCTATGATAGTAAATTATAATAAGATCAACGTTATTCACTTCCGGTGGCAGCATTCGGATAATGAATCCTCATTTGAATTCAATTGTGGCGGGCATAGTCTTAAATTTGTAGGACAAGGATACCTACATTGGTCTTTAACTTGATTACTTTCTTGATTATGATATAACCGCTAAGTGTATAACTCAAAAGGCAGGGAGAGCAATGGGGTTACGTATTACCAAATCAAAAGCATTAGGGTCCATGTCATATGATGTCTTTGTTAAATTGTATGATTCAACAGTTTGGCCAGTCATTTTATATGATGCTTCTAATTGCGGTAATAAATCGTTTTTTCCTGCATTGATGCGATACAGAATCGGGCAATGCGTTTTTTATCTGGGTGTTGGGCAGTTTACACCTACATCAGCTTTATATGGAGAGTTAGCTCGGCTGTCGACACTTGTGAAACAATGGGGATCTGTATGTCAAACAATGGCGTAGATTTGTTAGAATGGATGTAAATAGAGTTAATGATAAGATCTTTTTTTACTTTTGGCGCAAGAGTAGTATTATGTGTAAAAACAGGCAATTTAATAATTATATGGAAAAGTTAAATTTAGTAGAGTAGGCATGTGGATGTGTAACTGTCTTGTCTAAGTCTTTTTGTGAAAAAGTTGTTCAAAAATGTATGTCAAGGATAAATGGATAGTCAAGCTTAATAGGAATGTTGATCAAACTTAGAATAGTGGTAATAAATTAAAAACAGTTAAGTTGTAACAACACGATTATAATATTGAACATTATTGTAAACTATATTTGCCACGTACACACAAGTCTGCACTAGCGAAAGTCAGATGTGGAGTAGCTCCCATAAAGCTTTTTATTGGTAGATATGAAACATTTCCGTTGACAGAAGGCTATGTCCAATTTGTAAAAACTGTGAAAAACATGCATTATTATTTTGTAATGCATATGAGCATATTAGGTTACCTATGTTAGAAAAAGCTCGTAACTAAATGCCAGAATTTGTTGAACTCACTGATGAAGATAAACTTATATTTATTCTCTCCAAAAATGCATTGTTAAAGTCACAGTCAAAACCTGTTACAATATTCTTCAGATACGCTAAATATATTGTTCAAGTAGGGATTTTCAGACCACTAAGTGTTGTAGTTTTTAATAAATTTTAATATAGTTACCTAACAATTTTTAGATGATTTTGTGCTTATAAGTATATGATAGTAGAGTTTATTGTACAAATGTAACCAACTTGTTTTAAACATGATAAGTTGTTTTTATCTACATGTAGATATAGAATATCTTAAAGAAAATATATCGCCCGTGGTCAAACCATGGACGAACTGGTAAGTAGTGATATTCTAAATCGTGAATTCGTGAAGTTGAAATCGGGAATTCATGAAGATGAAATCGGGGATTCATAAAGTTGAAATGTCCCTACCGGGCTTTCGCATAAATACCAATAAAGTGATCAACTTCATAAAAATTAACATCGTGTATGTAAAGTCTTGAAGGAAACATTTACACAGTTAAATATTTTAAAATTAATGGCTGCTATAAGCCTGATTTAGCTTTTCTCATGGCTGCTAAGCATCATTAAGCTATTTTCATTGCTACTAAGCCTCATTAAACTATTCTCATTGCTATTAAGCCTCCTTATGCTATTCTCATGGCTGCTAAGCCACATTAAGCTATTCTAATGGCTGCTAAGCATCATTAAGCTATTCTCATGGCTGCTTAACCTCATTAAGCTAATCTCATTGCTGCTTAGCCTCATTTAGCTACTCTGATATTTGCTAAGCCTCATTAAGGTAAGGTCTTGTCGTTAGCAATTCTCATGGCTGCTATGCCTCGTCAAAATATTTTTATGACTTGCTGCTAAGTCTTTAAGCTATTCTCATGGCTGCTAAGCCTGTTTAAACGTTTGCATGGCTAAAATGCCTAAATAGATCAATTTAATGATTTCAAAATCTTACTTATGCTCACATAGGTCTAGTTTTAGTGTGATATTAAGTATTAAGTATTAAGATATTAACTGCTTGACGTTAGACTCTTGTTTACTCTAAGATAAAAAATTAAAGTTATTTTGAGTTAACGTAATAAAGTAAAATTAGAAAAAGAGCATCAAAATATAACGTCACTTGAAAAAAAATATTGTTTTTTAAGAAAACAATTTTTAGAGCAAGCATATCGAAAGATAAATCTTGATTGCCAAAAATATCCCTTGCGTTCGAACATTTTGTGTAAAATGGTAAGATAATAAGATATACTACTTCTTTACAAAATCTACCGTTAGGGCATAAAATAGGACAGAAAGGCGTTGAGAACCACTTTGGAACAACAAAAATTAACTGTGCTATGTCTTGTTTTATTTTACGTAGGACATTTAGCATAATAGATATTGGCGGTACAAAACGTCCGTATTTCCCTGACAATTTTTCGGAAAAATAATCGACTCCTGAACAGGTTTCGTTCCAAAAACGTGACCACAATACAGGCAATTTAGCGTTATGATTCAAGGCGAACCAGTCTAAATCTAATAGTCCTCATTTTGACTGCTAAGTATTTAAAATAGTAAAATTGATTCCCCAATCACCATAATCAATAATTTTTTATATGTAATCGCTTTCCTGATTTGTGATCTAGGAATCCATTCTACATCTATTAAAATGGAATTTTGTAAACAAAATCGGTATATACTAACAGGAACTTGCTGTAAATCACGTACCATCGGCCCTTTTGGTTTTATTTTACTGACCGCTTGATTGTCAGTAAACCATTTAATACGGTTGCCTCTAAGCAAATATGCTAAGGATTTTTAAACCCTGAAAACTGCGGTTAACTCTCTCCAAGTAGAGGAAAGTAGCATTTCCTCGGGAGACCAAATACCGTATGTAACGCTTTG